GATGGTGTGCTTCAGATTCAGTTAATTCACTACCGACCATATATTGTCGTCTGAGATCGAGTCTGGGATCCATTTTATTTATGATAAACACGATTAAATAAGTCCATGATTATAATTATAATTATATTATGATTAATTTAATTAAAAATCATTAATTGTAGAGCCTCGTTGTAAAACCAAGCATATTAATAACTATTAAATTTATACCACTGATGCGGACGTAGCAGAAGGTGCGGATGTCTTGAGCGGACGGGTTGTCAATGTCTTTCGTGCGCCACGATTGCAAACGACGATAAGTCGTGTTTAGTATCAATAATACGTTTTGAGTGACGAATCAATATAATGAATGCGAAAAGTTTGGCGACTGTCGGTCTCGAGTCGTCCATTTGAACGATAATTGTGGATATGTATAAACAATTTAAAAAAAATTGCGAGTTTTCCCAAAATATTTCATAATCGGGAATTTTTTGAAAATGTACCAAAATCAGGGATATTCAGGAATTAAATTTAAAGGAATTGAATCTAGAGTAGGAGTGCCCTCAAAACCTATGATTCAATGTAAACTCATGCAGGTTTACATAGTAAAAATACATCTAAATTGAATCTGGGGCAATCATAATCTACATTCTATATTCCAGAGTTTAAATAATTTCAAGTTTTGACAAATTTAATTTATTTTATCAGACGTTGTCAGTTTGAGAATACATTATCAAATACACAGTAATAGAAATTTACAATACATAACAACTTTGCGATAAATTAAATTGTTAATTGAACGGTTTCATCTTAACCAGAATTTCTCAAAAGTTACTCAAAAGTAGGCTTTGCCTGTATACTCCCATAGACAATACATTACAGTTTACTCTCATTCACCCACATTTACCCGCTTTGAGAAACGTTGATCTTAACTAGTGTTAAGTAGTAATTATTGAGTCACAATATTTATAGATAATAGTTATTAAATAGAATATTGCAATTCAATGATTGTTACTTAGGAATAGTTAAGATGAAACCATTCAATTATTTATCATATAGTTTATTGAGATGTTTTACTGGCGATTAGTGTTAACAGTTGGGCGCGAAAAACCACTTCACCGATGTTTTCATTAGACAGGAATTGTGTCCATGCGTTAGGGTTAGGCCGATCTGTGTTAGGATTGCACCATACATCAAACACCAGATCCTTTAAATCTCGGCATTCACTATCGAACTGGTCGCTTGTTTTGAAATATGTTTTAAACATAGTAAGCATCATTTCTCCTATAGAATCTGTGATTAAGTAAACTTTGTTAAAACAAGAATTATACAGCAATATTAGTTCCACAGTGGCCACAAAATTATTATAAGTCCCATAAAATTAGCATTGTCCATAAGATGCCCACAGACTTAACATTGTTCATAGTATTAACACTAGTCGTTAGTTTTAACATTACTCATGTTAATCCTATATCATAGAATTAACTTGTAATCCCATAGAAAAAGTATTACCCGTAGGGTGACCACCAAAAATCCCCTTAAAAAAAGACGACTGATCAAAAATAATCATTAAAAAAGGACACACAAAGGACGCAAAAAATTATTGTCCCTTTGCTTTATTCCGTTGTTTTGTCACCCATTTTAACTTATATTCTGCATCGAGTCCTACTTTTAGAAAAGTCGATGTTCAAAAATCAGTTAAAAATCAATGACAAGCACTCGCCTAAAAAAAGTCAGGAATGCCTCACAAATCATAATCCTTAAATATTATCAAAATTATGGCAACATTAGTTAATTAATACGATTAAGCGTCATTTTACCTAAAATTAGAACACGGTGCATGGTACGTGAGTTTATTTTCATAGCATGAACAACACTAACCAATGCACATGTATTACGCGCAGGCCTAGTGGGTACACATTTTTTATGTAAACGTTTCGTGCATCGTGTGATAATTTTAATGCTCAACCAAAAGCATTATAATATCAAATATTATATGTGTTGCTCCGATTAGCGCATGACTATGTTGCGCATGAGTATGCACATGCGCATAAGTATGATGCGCATAAGTATGTACATGAGTATGCACATGAGTGTTGCGCATGAGTGTGTACACATATTCACTGTTACACACACTCACTACCATATCAACACACACTCAACACTACATAAACACACTCACCACCACATAAACACACACTCAACACCACATAAACACACTCACCACCACATAAATACACACTCACTACCACATCAACACACACTCAACACCACATAAACACACTCACATCCACATAAACACACTCACCACCACATAAACACACTCACCACCACATAAACACACTCACCACCACATAAACACAAACTCAACACCACATAAACACACTCACCACCACATAAATACACACTCAACACCACATAAACACACTCATCACTACTCATATGGTGTTTTTTCTTGTAAACTAAAATAATCACACAATGCATACAACGTACATATAAATATAATATATTCTACGACACATGCGCGTAACTCTGCGCAGTAGTGTTCACCTAAAAATAAGACGCAGTGCACGATATTTAGCTAGATATGTTACGTTAATAGATAATTTTCGGACTCGATGCACGTAACGTAACTTTTTAACGATGCGAAATAAGGGTTAAATGAGTATTTAAATGAAAACACTTTTACCAAACAAAATAAATGACATCGTTTAGGCCAAAAGGATTGGAAATATATTCTTTGATTTTGATAATAGTTTTCTGTTAACAAATACAACATTTTTTATTATAGATTTCTACTCTATTGTTCTTATTTACTGTTTGTGTGCTGTAATGTCATAACTTTACAACTTCATAGCGCTACAGTGCATAGAAATCAACGAGATTTCCCAGTATTTTAAAACAAATTAACCTTTTTATATTGAAATTAATAAAATTTAAAAAAGACAAAGTATAGTCCTTTTTGACTACTCGAAAGGACGCTGTCCTGAAAGGTCGAAAAAAGGACAAAACCCATAAAAAAGGACGTTCTGGTCACCCTAATTACCCGTGTTATCTTATGAGAGTCTCCCAATGTTAAAATATAGCCATAGGATTAACATAAAATTGCATCTTAAATACCATAGGGGGAGGAGCTAGCAGAACAATCATATAAACCACATTATTCTATACATAATTGTGGTTAAAAATTATTTGCAAAAAATTATTATTAAATTTGGGATTATTGAAAGTTATTATAGTATTATTGTATTATATTTTTTGTTTTTATTAAACACTAATATTAATCATTGTCATTTTTGTTTTTGCATATTCTACTATAATTTTATGACGATTTTAAACAACTCACCAATTATTTGAGTGCGAGTGAAACGAAAATCCTCGTCAAACACTTCAAACACATCGGCGGTCAGTCCGTTGTCAGCCAAAGCCCGACGCCACACATCCAACTGCTGGTCAACGGACAGACACCAGCCTTTGCGGCGCTCGGCCGGTAGTTTACGATTCAAATCAGCCAATAAGATAATAGTGGCGTGAATTGTGCCGCCGGTGGTCAACAGTCTCCGACATATCGACAACAATCTATTCTTATCGCGTATGTAATGAAAGCAAAAATTGGAGAAAATTATGTCAACTTTCGCCTCAAGAAGCCCGACATCAGGGCTCAACTCCGGCCACGTGAGGGACAAGTCTTGGATCACGTACTCAATAGTGGGCAGACTATTGACGCGTTGGCTGTACTCAGTCATAGCCGGGTTCACATCAATGGCCACTATCTTCCGGTGCGGTACACGAGTGGCCAACTCTTTCGTGATCGCGCCGTCGCCCGAACCCATGTCTACAATAATGTCTGCTTTTCTGTTAAATACATAATATTTATTATAAATAAAATTAAGCGTAAATTATATGTGTAATCCTTGTGTGTTTACATACAACCTTGTTTTATTGATCATAGTTATTGATTTGAGCGCATATTTCCATTGCACATTATTTGCTCGCATGTCAATATACTCTTCGGGCGTTAAATTCATAATATAAGTTTGAAGGTATATTTCATTTACAATTTGTTATTTATATGTAAGTTAATTTAATAACTACTTGATTTATATTAAAAATACAATTCATTTTAATAAAATGGCAATCAATACAACATTTGTTTTTAGTTAAAACATATGTTATTCTTAATTGATTAATATTCCAATTTTTATTAAATATAAGTTGATTATATATATAATAAGAAAATAGCGAAACCATTTCCAGTTGTTTTTTCAATAAATAACATTAGGGCGACTCTAGACAAATAGCTTGGATAATATTTAAAAAATCATATATATTGATTTAAAACTTAAGTTGAATAGATATTAATAAAATATAGATTACAATTAACACTAGCTTTAAAAAATTTAACATAAAATATTGGGAATGAATTGGTGACTCTGAAATAATGAAGAGATTTTTGAAGCGAAATCTTTTCATTATTTCCCAGAGTCATCAATTTATTAAAAAGTTAATGAAAATTTCTAATTGACTTCACTAATAATCATTTATCATAAAGAAATATTACAATTACTGAAATACTGTTAATATGTAAAAGTTTTATAAGATAATAACTTATAATAACTTTTAACTACAACAGTTTGTACAATTATGTACTCTTCATTTTTAAATTCTTGGTAAAAATCAGTCTTAATGATCAGCTTTAAAAAATTAAGAAATGCTTCAAGCAAGCATTGCGGATTATTGCGGAAAAAATTGCGGATTAATAAATTGCCGAGTTGTATTTGGTGTCCGAGTAAATTTTCAAAAATAGAACATTTACAAAATCCGTTCAGTGTTGTAAACTTTTAAGATTTAACAAATCAGTACATGTTCTGCATAAAAAAAAGTGAGTGCAGTGTTATATCCATTCCAAGCACTACCACTTCACTTCACTGTATTAACTTTGTAAAAACAATGTAAAAATTAAGCAGAAATGGGTGCACCGCTACTCATATCGTACATTCCGTAAATTAGTAAATTATATTACAATGAGCTTTGTTTTATAAACAATAATTAATCATTCATATATTATTTAATAAATAAAGTATTGATACAATATAATTATTGGACGAGTTTACCATAAAATCTGTCAAACTTTACGATTAGCTCATCGTTTGCCGTAAATATCGGACGTTTTGGTCGACGAAGTGATTACCAAATCACACAATTTTTAGCAATCTTTAACAAATTCGTAGTAAAAAAATTTAAGAAACCCGTACGTTTGTAGACTAGAGTCCGTCGAATGGCGATGAAGAGGTTCAGGAGAATTGGGTGTCCGGCCACTTGGCCGACACCCGTTACGGCGATGTCCACTACTATACGTATGACAAACCCCTATGGAATTGGCGTCAATACCCCAGCGGTAAGTTTGCCTCCGAATACGGCTACATATCCTACCCGTCCGTCGAGACACTGTTAACCGTATTGAACGAGACTGACCTGACGTTCCCGATTGGGGCGGCGCTGGAGCAACGGCAGCACCATCCGGGCGGCACCAAATCCATTGAGAAGGCAATTGGTAAGCTTTTAGATACTTTTTAAAATAATCTAGTTTGTATCTCTCATATGTCTGTTTGTTTCAAATTAATAAAACCTTATTTTAGAAACATGGTTTATATTGAAACAGTTTTTTACCTACTTATTATGTATTTTTACTTCACCTAGCCACTTATTTCAAACTGCCCTCGAAGGGCGGTGTCGATCGGTTCGCCGATTTGGTGTACTTATCACAAGTAATACAAGCGATGGCTATGAAAGTGGAGACAGAGTTTTATCGCCGCAACCGAGCGATAGACCCGAAGACGGGTAACGGGAACACAATGGGTGCCCTGTATTGGCAGTTGAATGACATCTGGCCGGGCACTACCTGGGCGTCCATTGAATACGGGGGCAAATGGAAAA